GAGTCACTATGTTGTCATAAACTTGTTTGCTTCCTGTTACATTTCCAAAATTCGATAAATGCAACCTATATTTTTGAGCTTCTGGACCAGACCAGGTGAGGTTTGTTCGGTGTTGTGAGACAGTTCACATGGCAAGCCGTAAAATGGACGGTTTTCCAAGTTCGCTATTTCACGAGCTCTATCGCAACACGAGTGTTGCCTCGTTCCGTCCTTCAAAAATTGCTGAGGTTCTCTTCAAATACTCAGTACAGTGTGTATTTTATTTATTTATTTTTTGCACGCGTGTTGACAAAAACACGCTAAAAACGCTAAGTGGAAGCTAAGCAGCTTGGTCCCGTTTAAGCTGCTTAGCCTCCACAAGCTAGGAGAGGTCCGGGAAAGGGCAACAAAGATGGCTGACGCGCGTTTTGGAGGCACAAAGCCGCTTTATGCCCGGCTTATTCTAAATCCTCCAACATTCTCAAGTAGCGGACAAGTCCTCGCGAGAGTCCAGGCAGTCCTTTTTTTTTTTTTTTCCATTCCAAGGTGACACTTAGGCCTAATCATCCCCCGAGAAGCTACCGTGAACAGCCACATAAAAGAAGACAAGGCCTGCACATGACGTCATTGTCAGTGGACTCAGGTCCCGCTCCATCCGGCAAACACGCCGGTCGCCGCGAAGCGGTAGACGCGTCCGTCTTGGCGTCGCCGCGTGTTAGCACTGCGCTCCCTGTGAGACGCGGCAAGACGCGCTGGCGGCGACGCAGACGCCAAGTAGGCGGCGCTGCGTCCGCTTCTCGCGCCTGCGGTTGCGGTGACGTCAAAACGACGCCGATCTCTGATTGGCTCTGGCTGGAAGGATAGCGGACAGACCTCAATGGTAGCTGTTTCGAGGTCTACCCACTATCCTTCCAATCCCAGGCAACCCCTACGCGAGAAGCAGGCGAGCTTGCGCGCCGAAGAGCACGCCAGTGACGCCCCACGAGAATGCCGAGGCTTCTTGGGAGCAGAAACGGCGCACTCAGACAATCGGAACGCCCGGCGCCTGAGGCACACGGCTGACTCACGGAGGCAGCGGACGGCTCCCACTGGACTGCGGCGACGTGGTCAAACTCGGCAAACGACCATCGGGGATTTCATAACGGGGACAGCTAACAGAGCGCGGGACACAGCTTCTCATGACGTCATCCCCGTACATTCTGTTTCCGTCGTCGGAGAAAGAACAAAACGCCGGGAACCAAGCGTGTACAGAATAAGAGCCCCCGCGTCAGTCAGGTTCCTCGCCGGGCATTACTAATTTCCCCCTTTAGGTAGAGATTCAGATACATGTAGGTGCATTTTAGACTAAAAATAATGCTATCAAGATGTACACGTTTCAAACGCCAAAAGCATCTCTCCTTCTTCCGACAGCCGAATCTTAATTAAAACTACTTCGAGCGGCGTATAAACAATCCGCAAAACTTCATTATTTTTTTTTTTTCTTGAGGTGCACACGAGTACAGTCGCAACTTTCACGACCAATGAGGGCGCACTAGTGCCTACCGAGGTGACTTTCACCGGGATGATTCAAGTAGAACAGCGGTACGAGGTAGGTTTTGTTAAAAACGAGCGATGTGAAATTTATGCATCAGAATTTTGTGGCAAGACGGTGCAAAGGAGCATCCTTATTATAGGGTGAATAATCCGCGAATTAGGGAGCGCGGTTCTCACACCGCGGCACCATCATCCCTGAGCGCTGACATAAAAAAAGCGCAGGAATGAGAAGAAACCTTGACATGTTCGAAAAAACGCACAATCTTGGCGCCAGCGTGCACTTGGGGCTTTTTTGATGCCACACTAAGAAACGTCATGCGAACGCAAAGAAGAAACCAAGCTACGAGCCTCGTCCAGCTGGCTCTCCCTTTTCGACCTCTCGTCTTTGTTCGAATTTACTTGGCCGGCCAACGAACGTTCGACATTGGATGCCCCCCCCCCCCCTAGTAATTGCTCTTTCTATCTCCGTCTACGGAGCCACTCCAATCTACCCCTAGAGGAAAAGAGCGCATCTTGGTGTCTTCGAGAGCTCCGGGGGGTGGGCGTCCGTCGACTGGTCTTCAGGTTGGTCCGCTGATTGCACCGCTTCCCAGCTGCTGCTCCCTCGTGTCCTCCATTTTCCAAGACTCCCTCCCATCCCTGTTTGGGATGACGACGCGGAACCACCTGTCCTCACTCCCCACATCTGCTCTTCCACTCCTCCCCAAATGGATGACGAGCAGTAATAAAACGGGAAGCTTCCCCGACTAAAAAATACTACTCAAGTTAAAAAGAAATACACACTTGTAATGGCTTTTGCCCAAACAGGTGCGTGCTAGGGTAGATTTTATAAACACAGCTGCAATAAACCCGCTGCAAGCCCAAAAAAAAAGGCCCTCGACTTGACCAAAGACAATAAAGAAATCCTCTTGTTCCCCTTCTCCAGGGATTATTTTCATCATTATTGTCCAGCTCGCTTACCCCTTAGCATTTAAGTGCATTATAATTAGAACGGGCGGTAGGTGACGCCACTGCCGAACATGGTCGAAGTACACACTAAAGATATTTACATCCCTCAGGGAATGAAAAAGGTGTTAAAACAAACTTACACTCGGGGCTACACCCTTATTTCTAGCTATACGTAATTTATGAGTATAGAGTAGTGCGCCGGTCTGGAGAACAAAGCTCATTTTCTGAAAAGAGGAAGAAAAAAAAATGTGTTGTACATTGCGGGGAAGGGACAACAAGCCCGCTTCAAAAAGCTCGGAGGTTGTTGCGGAACTACACCGGATAATTATTGCCTGCAAAACTACTTTTCCCTTGGAGATCCTTGAAGTTCGAGATATCGTGCTCAATGTGCAATATCGAGGAGAACAAAGCAACATACTTGGTACCTTCGCAATGGACCATTTTAGAAAGTCGCCGGTTCAGAAGGTTCTGGTAGGAAAATACGTGAAAAATTGCTCGGATTAGGAAGGAGAGTGAAGAAGCGTCCTAAAACGAACTTAGGGGCTTAAAGATAAGCCACAATACGAACAAAACAGACTTTGGGGGAGCCCAATCTAGGTCAGAGCAGCTGAATAGAGCCAGCCGGATCTTTGCTACCGTGGTCGAGGTTGTGCTCGCTTGAGCACATGTTCACGTATTTTCATTCCAGGACCTCCTCAAATAGTGGCTTTCTAAAACGGTCCATTACGGAGGCAGTTACTTTGCAGGGCACAAAAGCGATGGCGCCGTTAACAAAGTCGCGATAGCGGTCTTGCGCGTGCTTCATTGTGTATTTGTTGTTTCTGGGCATGTAATATCTGTTGCATCTACGCTGGGCGTGGGTGTAGAGCGCAGCAAGTCGTAAAACACCTCTGGGACACCACTAAGATCGCTAGCACCCTTTTCTTAGGATGCCCCTGGTAAAGACCTTTTGGTACGTGCTATAAAATGCACCAGCAACACATTATCCTTTAATAATGTGTATTCGGTTAACTGTTCATATCAAAAACATTGGCTAGATGGCGTAAAACGCCGCCCCATCAAAAAGGATTGAGCCGCATTCATCCATTCATTCATCCAATAAGTTCGTTCATCGAAAAAAAAAAGTATATATAACCTTGATACCTGGCCGCTCTCCTCGTTTGGAAAAGCGCCAGAGGAAAGAAATGCCACAACACGCACCGTGGGTGTTTTGTCTCGCTTGCCTTCCGAAAATTCGAATGCGCCCTCTCTTCACCACTAGCCCTACCTGAAATCCCTCTTTATCCTCCCCCCAGAATAAGCAATCTTCCTGCTGCCATTGTAGACGCTGCCCGCCGGCGTTCCCCCTCTTCCACCTTCGAGAACCGATATTGTGTGCGGCAGCAGCGTTGCTTCGAAAAAGCGCCACAAAATACCGTGTTTTTCACCAGGTACGGAAGCGGCCAACAAAGCGAGCGAGGCAGGGGACGAGCCAGAGCCAGGTAGAAAAAAGAAAAAAAGGCAATTTGCCAGGGAGTTTGTCCGTCGCCGTGTCCTTATCCCGGAAGCCGTGCTAATGGGAGCCTGCTCAAGGTAGGCAACTCGGCGGGTAGGCGCCGTCCAAAGTGGCCAGGCCATGCCGGACAGAGAATACTGTCCCCAACAGGAGACATGCCCACAAAGGAGCCTCCCGAGATCGCACCCCATCCCGGAATTCGCGCTTGGGGTAGGCACGGCCTCCTTCTTCACCCGAGGCTAGTAGATCATTATCCGTGGGGAGAACAGGTAGAAATATCGGGAGAGCCATTAGGAAAGATAGCTTCAACGACCTCGGTGAAAAACACGGACTAGACAGCACTTTCTCGGATAAAGAAAACCGAAAAGACTTTCTAGGTGTAGTCAACGTAAATCGTGATAGTTTCCAGATTCGACGCCACAGGCCAAATCAACGGCAACTTCAATTATGTTGGGATATCTCCGCGAGTCGGACCACTGGTTGGACTGGCCAGAACCGATTTGAGCGTGTAGTCGTTTTCAGCAACAACATATTGCTTAAAGATAAATGGAGGCCGTGCGCTTTGATCGAACATGGCCCAAACCGGGTTCAAACAGCGCGCCCTAACCAGTCTGCGGCGTCCACCGCCGATACATATACACGACCTGCCGATCAGCTATTTCAACGCGATATGAGGCGAAAAATAAAACCACAGGAACGATAGGATTCGCCACTTTCGCAATTCAAGAACCGCCGCGGACCTCGCCAAAACACCAGAAGCGCAATCTGATTTTTGAAACCGTTGCAGATGCGAGCGCGCGCGCGTCCAAAAGGCCGCACGTCCGCACTCGGCGCACTGCAACCACCTGTCAGACGCCAACACGCACGAACTGCGCGGCAAGAAACGAAGCAGACCCGATCACCGATGGAATACATCGGTCAAAGTAAGATCCCGACTGAACAAGCCCGACCGGCGCCGTCATTGTCCGTCTTCGATCGAGAGCGTCGTCCCCGCAAGAAGCGGAAATCAGCGAGGCAAGGTGAGGCGGCGTCGCTTAGGCCTTACCTGCGGTGCAGACGGCCCACCAGCTTGCAAGCCTGCCGTCCAGATGCATGGCAGGGCCGCAGTCGGTCGCAAAACAAGCACGCACGCACACACCGGCAATCCTCGAGTGTCACACAAGAACGGGCCGATATCCCTTGCGAGCCGCTGTCACGAGGAGTCAGCGAAGATTCACCAAGCGTAGGTCGCCGCCATCGCCGTGTAGCACGCACGTAACGACCCACCGGCGCCTTCGCCGACTGCACGAGTGGGGACCAGTTCGTTTTTCCCTCTTCTCGGCCGGCCCCCCTCAGATCCTCCGCCACCTTCCCGCCGCGCGCCGGTCCTCCGCAGCCGCAGCGCGCACTTGGTCACCGGGCCCAACCGCACGCTTGAGCTGGCGCAACAACACTCACGCTCGGCTGAAAGCGCGACAAGAAAGAGTGCGCAATCTTTTAAAAGAAAATGCCGGGCTTTTAAATTTTTATTGCTGTTTTTATTGTCTTGACTCAACGTTCAACGAATAAACGTGCGATTTTTGCCTTCTTTAATCGGCGGTCTTGGCTCTGAGTTTGCGGTTTTGTGGTTTGTGGTTGGCCGTCCCCTAGCCGGCCCCGCGCGATCGTTACGGCGCGTTGTTTGAAGTGCGAGCCTTGGGGCAAAACTCACGGAGGGTCAGAAAATTCAAACGAGTCATTGTTTCCGGAGTTTGAGTGCGGAAGACTGTTAGTACTACAAATACATCAAAATGTCCAAAACATTTTTTTTTTATGAAATAAGTTTGTGGCCACTAGGGCACAAGATTTTGTTCAACACGTGCGCGAGTGAAAGCCGCACAATTTAGATATTCTAAATCAAAGTAGCTTCTTTTTTCTTTTTTTCTTTTTTTGGCTGACGAAGGTAAAACATATGCAGTGGGCGACAGAATGTTTTCGGACGTAACCCAGATTTCAAAAATTGAGAATTTACAGCGTTATCCTCTAATTTCGGAGTCAAAAAAGCTGTAACAGAGCAATCGTTTTTAGAACTCACGTCCTGTTTGTCATTATTCGGTGAGGAATATGAACACACTCGAAGAATGAAGGAATAAAACGTGCATTTATGCGGTTTAAAACAATACGACATCATCGCCGAAACAACTCGCGAAGTATACTTCAAGGAAATATATTTTTGTTTTTGTTTACTAACAGTATAGTAAACATATACATGATATTCGGACCACTTCCGGTTCGGGTTTTGTTTGCATGCTTCTAAAGGGCAGCATCACCGCTATGTTTCCTATGTTCTGCAATGAAATCTCTGTTCTTCATTATGTTTGCCACGTGGCTTCTTGAAGTGCTGAAATCCTTTGCAATTGACTGGGCAACTTTTCGGTGGGAGATCTCCGCGAAATAAAAGAAGCTTCTAGCCGCGGCCGTCGGGCGCGAGCGGTCCCTGTCACGCGCGCGTCGATTTTACGCTCAACACTAGGGTCAGGCACGTAGCCAGGATTTTTCTTCGGGGGGGGGGGGGGGGGGGGGTAACACTTATGACAAAATGCTGTATGAGGGGGAGGGGGGAGAGGAGGTCCCGGCAAAATGGTCGATTTCGGGGGAACCCGGGCACCATACCCCCCCTCCCTTCCTCCCCCTGGCTACGTGCCTGACTAGGATCGCTTAATTTTGAAATCGAAGGTGCACATATCCGACTCTTTCGGATAGCGAGGATACTGGATCGAACGAATCACCACTTGAGTTCTTACGCAAATAAAGATTGATTGAAATATCAATTAATATTCAGCCAAATATAACTGTGTACGTTTAGCCTGAACACAGGTTTTCATAAACGGACCATGTGACACATAAAATAATAGCTTTTATCGCTTTTTTTTATCTTAGAGCAGAATCACTTGCTGACATTAATTCTTGTGTGCATGCGAGCTTGTGAACAGACGGTTTATGTTACCTGAACAAACACCAGCCAAAAACCACAGACGAACTAAAAAAGAAAAAAAAAAAGAAGAGAAACGTGAATGTTGAAGGTTTGTCAAGTTTGTGTCAGCGAAGGACTTCGGAATGGGAGGGATAGGAGGCTACGGAACCGAACCTGGAGTTCGGTTCCGTACGTCCTACTTCAGACACGTCAATTCAAAATTCAAAAACCTGATTTTTTTTTCTTTTTTTTTTTTTTTGGCACGCAGTTAAGCGTTTGTACGTGACACGATCAAAGCAAGACGTGAAACAAACCACTGGTACCATCCTTTCGATTTGATTACTCGCCCACGTCGTCAAACACAACAGCGCCTGTGTGTCTTCCAAAACAGAACAGTGCTAACAAATAAGGTATGTTCCCAGGAGTATCGCGTGGCAACCACAAGTCGGACGTGAAGGCTAATTTTCTTACCTTGTGGCCTGGGTTCTAGAATCTAAAATCTAATTTTGACGTCCCCGTCTGCAACTGCACGGAATATCATTCCCGGGATCGCCGCGGTAGCTCGACGTTGTCACAGTCACACCGATCTGTTTTATGTCCGGTTTTCGACATGCCTTTCCTGAATTTCCACCGAAAAAAAAAAAAAACAACTTAGAAGACGCGCTGCTCATTCTTGTTCATTGAAACATGCACAAGAAGCTGGTCAACCAGAAGTCATCTCGGCCAAAGAAAGTTCCGCCATTGCTTGTCTATGTTTACCTTGGAATACCATGTATTAGGCCCGAGAGCGAACACAAGCGTCGCTGCGGTCGCCGCGCCCTGATTGGGTGAGGTGTACCGTGACGTCAGGGGGAGTACTCCGCTCCGCGATCTCGCCTCGGCTCGCTTCCCAGCACCGGTTTCCTGGTTTGGCGTTGTGTGCCGCAAGCTCTTCGAGGAGCTGGACTTCGTTTACCCGGTGTACAAGACGTTGAGTTAGGCCGATATTGACGTGCTTCCGTACATTTTATAAGCCTGATCGTCCCTTTTACCTTTAAAATTGGGTTACAAATCCCGAAAGCTATCGGCGGAGGCAATTCCGCCGATGAACCTTCCCGTCCGTCCACACGACACAAGGCAATCTTGCGAGGGGTCGGTGAAGCGCTGGCGCAAGTGTTTCAGACGCTAGGATTCTGCTCCTTGCATGTTCATGATTTAGGACGATATTACATCCCGCTTTCAAGGCATTTGAAGTGGCATTTATATCGTAGGCCTTTGGGTGGTCGCCGAATTAGCTCGCGACCCCGACTCTGCGCTTCCACTCTGCATGCGCTGATTTGCAGATGTTTTAAAGGCCCTGTGTCTGATTATCTTTGAAGTGCTCGTGGAACAGGGCTGTTTTACATGAATTTAGCTTCTTCGTAAATTAATTATATAGTTTATACACGTATGCAGGCATATTTCTTAGAAGATGCACAATTACTGAAAATTAGTTTGTATGCATGGTAGCCGCAAACACGGCCGAATTGCCCCCAGGTGCCTGTATGATATGTATTGAACTGCCCAAAATATGCACAGCAATAGTGCTGTAATTTGGAATGTTTATACTTTTCCTGACATTCTTTATTCCAGCCTTGGGTATTAAAAAATACACGGTTTAGTATGAATTGTCATTTCCAATTAAAACAGACTGCTACAGGTCCCCAAAAGCTTTTTCAGCCTTCAAACTCCCTACAGCTGGACTCTGACAACAGAGCAAAACAGGAGTAAAAGCAAGCATTCGAACGTCTGTCCAGCGGTAGATGCAGCACTAGTAGCAGAAAATGTGGAACCTGTGAAGGGCGACAGTCTGCGTGAGAAAAGCTTCTGGTATTTTAGCTTCAGGACACTTCGATTTAAGTAAAATCTCAATTTTAGGGCTTAAGGGTCTAATAACGAGCTAGGCACCTTCGCTGACGTTTGTTATACATTACTTAAAGGTCGATATAAACAAGTCCACAAATATCACCCGTGTAGTCCTTTCAAAATACTATCCCAGTCCAGCAAAGGTTAAATGCGAGCAATGTATATAATAAATGTTTCTTGTTTTTGTTTTTTACTTTGCTCCTGCACTTGGGCTGTCTTACTTGTGATTCTCTCCCCATGGCCCAGGCTGTATTTAGCATGTTGCTCGAGGAGCATGCAGCTTTTCTGCTTCGGCGATCTTGTTTAAAAACAGAGATACAAAAGAAAATAAAGTAAGTAGGCAGGCGAGCTGGTTGATGTTACACATTTTTGAAAACCGGAGACGACGGACGAAGAAGGGGACAACACACAAAACGTCTCAATGAGACGTTTTGTGTGTTGTCCCCTTCTTCGTCCGTCGTCTCCGGTTTTCAAAAATGTGTAACAAAAGAAAAATCGTATACATAACCTGCCAATTTATTCAGACCATCAACAGCATTTATTGTGTGAGGTATAAATCTATAATGATGCTCCTGCCATTTTGGCCATATTTCTTTATTTTCATATACCAGCAGCGATTCATGCGTTGCCTGGCCTGTCAAACATGCTTAAAATGTTGGTTGAAGTTTCGCCTGTAGCTACAGGCCATACCTAAATAAGGGCTCATATAAAAATTTACACTTCCTACGGAAAACACGCCTAAAAAAATTAAATAGAAACGAGCGCGCCGACAGCTAGCGTCGTCACAGCCTCCACAGGGCGAGCGGGGCGAGTCGGGGAAAAATTCTCTCCTCGCCGTGACGTCACCCCAGTTCGCCGTAAGGGGGCGCCACGCAAACTTCTCGGGGCTAAACGGCCACCTATACTAACTTATAGTCCGTACGCCTTAGTTGCCCAGACTGGGTCGACCGGCGCGAACCGCACTGCGCTAGGAAGTATAGACCCTTTCAGGCAACATTTCATGGGCGCCGCCATCTTGACGTCACGTGACCCTGCCGCCATAGCCGCCCTTCAGTTTCTCGCCGTTCCTCCGCGTTGTGTGCTGCACCGGCCGCTACCGGAGCTTTGTTTTCGCGTTCTTTTACGTTCCGCGTTGAAATCGCGTGTTTTCTTTAGGTCTTTTCAATATTTCGGGCTTTCATTTAATAATTTGATATTTATATTTCAACATAGCTCTTGTATTTTCTTATTTATGAAATGGAATGGGACAGCGAATGGATCGACGATACAAGATTATGGCTTCAGAGGCCAAGTAAGTTCATCCCATTCTAACGTTTTTCTCGCTAATAAAGGTCAGTCAACGCCATTGCGACATATGCAAATTTCAACTGACTACCCAGTCGTGCTTCTCGCTGCATGTGCCCGCTCGTTTCCATAAAGCCGATCCGCATGTAAGCGATTTAGCGGGCGACGAGACGAGCGACGGCGACAACGACGAGAGTCAGCGACGAAGATTTTTCACTGCCGCCTGTTGCATCGCTCGGTTTTTCGGGTTTTTAGAAAACGTCGCTCGCCGTCTTGGT